TGCATTGTGCATACAGGCCCCAGAGCTCAGGAGAGGTAGAAAGGATGAATAGAACTCTAAAAGAGACCTTGACTAAATTATCCATAGAGACTGGTTTGTGTGATTGGTTAGTCCTCCTTCCCTTCACCTTATTTTGAGTCTGAAATACTCCCTGCCACTTTGGGCTAACACCCTTTGAGATAATGTTTGGGGCCCCGGCTCTGCTTGAGTCGGCTCACCTCCATGCATCCCCCGAATGTGTAACTAATAAGTTTCTGCTTGAAAGCTTACGGTCCCTAGAAGTTGTACAGAGAGAAGTGTGGGCCACCATCCGGGAAGCCTATTGGCCGGACGACCTGTCAGTGCCTCATCAGTTCCAGGTGGGAGACCCCGTCTACATAAGACAACACCGAACAGGAAACCTTGAGCCTCGGTGGAAAGGACTCTTCATCGTCCTCTTGACCACTCCCACAGCCGTGAAAGTGGATGGCATCTCCTCCTGGGTACACGCTTCACATCTGAAGAAAGCACCCCAGTCGGACTAGGATTGGAGAGTAACTCAGACTGATAACCCCCTTAAGCTTCGCTTGTGTAGAAAGAACTATGTTATTAGTGATTCTGATGCTCCTGCTGCTTCCAACCCACCAGAACCCTAACCCCCATGAACCCAGGTTACTGACATGGCAAATCATTACCCCAGCTTCCCACCAAGTAGTAGTCCAGTTAACAGAACAGCATCCTAGGGGGACTTGGTGGCCTACCCTCACTGTAGACATATGTACTCTCTTCAAACAAGACCCTTGGCACGGAGGTAGAATAGGGAGGCCAGGATGTGGTTCTCGGGCTTCTATGAAAGAACTCCAAGATACCTGCTTCTATGTGTGCCCAGCCCCCTCAACCGATCGTGCCAAGGTCTTGCAGTGTGGTGGGCAGACAGACTTTTTCTGCAAAAATTGGGGTTGTGAGCAGACTGGGACATGCTATTGGCTAACAGGGAAGTCTCCTCCAGGACTTATAAAAGTCCAATGGAGCACCACTCGCACCCAAAACATGACTAATCCCACCTGCAACTTAATTGACATCTCCTTTACAGATGCAGGAAAAAAGGTGACAAACTGGGAAATAGGGCTTATGTGGGGACTACGACTTTACCAGAATGGATATGATAATGGAGCCTTGCTTATGCTCAGGCTTAAGATAGAGACCCTTCCAGCTGCCCCAGTAGGACCCAATACTGTCCTAAGAGATCAGCTGCGTCTCCCAAAGCAGACCCTCCCAAAGCAGTCCTACCAGTGGACTCTGCCACCATTTCCGCTGCCCCCACCCTTGGTCAAGTAGCCCCCTTTCCTGGCACTGGACAACGCCTCCTCAACCTTCTCGAGGGGGCTTTCTGGGTTTTAAACACCACCAACCCTAATAATACCAAATTCTGTTGGTTATGTTTTTCCTCTGGACCTCCTTATTATGAAGGACTGGGGTTGTTGGGCAGCTTTAACAATACAACCAGCCACGAGATCTGTAGTTGGGGCAGCCACAAGACACTGACTCTGACCAAAGTGATTGGAAAAGGGAAATGCCTAGGCACAGTTCCTCCCACTCATAAGAATCTGTGTAATGAGACCATACCCATAGCCTCCTCAGGTGAAAACAGGTATCTAGTCCCTCCTCCTGAGGGATGGTGGGTTTGTAATACCGGACTGACCCCGTGTGTTTCCACCTCTGCCTTCAATTCTTCCCGTGATTTCTTTATTATGGTCCAGCTAGTGCCTAGGCTGATGTACCATGATGATCTCTCATTTGTGACAGAATTTGAACCCAGACAGAGATTTAGAAGAGAACCAGTCTCGCTGACTTTAGCTGTGTTGTTGGGAGTAGGAGTTGCAGCTGGAGTAGGAACGGGGACAGCTGCCATCATCCAGGGGAAGCAACACTATAAAGATTTGAAAACTATAGAGCAATCTATTACTAAACTTGAAGAGTCCCTAACTTCCCTTTTTGAAGTAGTGCTGCAGAATAGACGAGGACTAGATCTACTGTTCTTAAAAGAAGGAGGATTGTGTGCAGCCCTAAAAGAAGAATGCTGCTTCTATGCAGACCATTCTGGAATAGTAAGAGATTCAATGTCTAAACTTAGAGAAAGACTAGATCAAAGGAAGAGAGAACGAGAGGCTAGCCAAGGTCTATTTGAATCTTGGTTTACTCGATCCCCATGGCTTACAACCCTGATATCCACCCTGGCGGGACCCTTGCTTATTCTTGTATTACTTCTCACTTTTGGTCCCTGTGTTTTAAACCGGCTAATATCCTTTGTTAGAGAAAGAGTAAGTACTGTTCAGGTACTAATGCTGAGACAACAGTATCACTCTCTTACACAGCAAGAAGAAACAAGCATTCCATGATTGGAATATCCAAAAAGAAAAGTGGGGAAATGTAGAATCTAAGCATTTAGTGAAGACAGCAGGTTAGCCTAAGCACAGCCATCTTAAGAAGCCCAGAGGCCATTTTCTGAATATGTGACTCAGAAAGGCCTTGAAAAACAAGGTGAAAAACAAGTTAGTCAGCCACTGTTAATTGTAGTGACCTTTAGTTAGCTAACCTCAAATCAGTTAATCATACATACCAAGCTTATCTTGCTAGAACCACCCTAAACATTCCGAAAGTGATTTTATCTAACCAGACCCCCGGGATGTGGCGTCAGCCGAAAATTTATGTGTCTATGGACAAACACTGTATTGTAGTTGTGGAAAATTTTGCCTCTTTGAAAATGCTATAAAACCCTCTGGTTTTAGCTGCTCAGGGTCCTTGTTGAGACCCGCTGCGTCGGGCTAACTTGGACCCCAGCTAGCTGGTTCCTGAATAAATTCCTCTTGCTTGTTGCATCGAGACGCCTTTCGTGAGTGATTTGGGGCGGCGTCCTCCTCTGGGAGAATCCAACAAAGGAGACTAAGCAATATTATCAATTCAATTGTTGTAAATGGAAGTTTATACCTGGATGCATGTGCTAGGGTATATGTGCGCTAGTGTGTTCTGTTGGTGGTGATAGGGGAAATGGGTATAGGACCAATTTCTGACTAAGAAATACTTGATAATGGCTTTAGTTCTCATGGAAATCAAGAAATAAAGTGATGAAAATAGTAGCTGAAATAAAGGTTTCTATCAATTATATATATTTAAAAATCAATGTATGGAGCACCGGGTAAGTTACCAGAGGAAACTCAAGTCTCCATTTGTGTTTAGGCCAACCTTTGGGGTTGAAAAGAGCAACGTCCCTACTGAATGAAGGGATTCAGAAAAAAGTGGATCATTTATAGCACCTTAATTTTTCTTGAGACTATCAGTGAACCGACGTCGTAAGAAACCCAGGCAAAGTGTATTCCAAAGGGAAAAAAGTCTTCAGGGAAAAAGAAGACACAGGAATTACCTCACCCTTGGAAGAGCACAGGAGAAAGAGATGGTGGCTGTGTAAGTACGCAAGAAGAAATCAGCTAACACTTAAACGTATGACCTTCTGCCAGCACCAGAAATAGGCCACTTTATGGAATCTCCAATTGGGTGCACTGACTTTCCAATTTTTACAAAGTATACTTAGACTATGAAAGACTTTAATATAGTGAAAAGATTGTCAAATGCAACAAATTTCTGATAGATTAGTCCTAATCTGATCATTTTTCATTTTCTCTTCTTTTGAAATCTGTTCTAAACCCCAAAGTGAATAATTTATGAATCTATCATCTTGCCTGGAGTTGCTTCAATGTAGAAAAGAAAAGGGTTGATGGAACTTGGGAGGTAGAGGTGGCTACTTTATTTGCTTCTCAGCATCAGAAAACGTGTGCTCCATACTGAAAATTCAATGAATCATGGTTAATTATAATTAATTTCCATTTTACCTGTTAGAAGTTCATCTCCTCAAATAAGATAGTCTACTATATGCAATAAAGATTATTGGTGAAAATTTTTGATAATTTACATTTATTAAGTCATTGTCACTTTAAATGATTTCAGCTATTGACTCTAATAATTTTACCTTTATATCAGTAATGGGAAACACTTGAAGGGTTAAAGTTTTGTTTTTACTTTAAGTTACACTAAATTGAACTTTATTGGTATCACACTAACATGGCTTTATTAGTGGCGGTAAGATCATTGCCCTTATCCATGACAGCAAAACTAAATAACTTAAAATGTCAAATCAGAAAGCAGTTATCAAACTACTGAGAATGAAGAGTGATAAATTTTACTTATACATTTTGAGTGTGGGCTTCACTGCCTCCCTTAGCACTGAGTTTCATCACTTGTTAGCTGGATTCTTTTAGGTAGGTTGATTAAACTGAGGTTCAGTTCTCTCATTTGCAATACTTGGATGCTCGTAAGATTGCAAAGCTACTCCATGCAAGCATTCAACGTGACAGAACAGGGTATTAATGACCACGTGAGGTAAGTGAGGCCTGTGTCAACATACCCTGTCATCCCCACTGTATAGATACGGAAACTGCACCTCAGAACAGTTATGTATTTATATAAGGAACCACAGATGATAAACTGAGGCTTAAAATATGTTTGGAGACTTCTAGATTTAATTATTTTCCTTTATATCAAACTTCTTCACTTAGATCCATAATTCAGTCTACATGCGTTGTCTGAATCATAAATATTTCTGGTTAAATCTTTGTCAGAGTTACAAATCCATGTAAAATGGAAGATACCAAATTAATATGATTTTTAAAAAATGCTCTCTAAACTCAGAGATTATAAGAAAACTGAAAATCATCCAAGATTAATCTGAACTTTGAATATGCAACTCACCCCCTTACTAGGAAATTAATAATCTATTAAACTAATAATTAATAGTTAAATTAATGGTGGCTTCTCAAAATAATTCTTTTTCATTTTCTATAATATCTCGCATGCAATTTTAATCTAAACTGCAATTGTATAGCTAAACAGTGAAAAGTAATCACAAAAAACCATGTTGATACACCAATTAAAGCAAGAACATTTTTTACAGCAGAAAAAACAGAAACTCAAAATGTAAAAGTGCTTACTGCAGCTTGCCGATGAGTATTGGACAGTATTCCATGAATCTTCACTTTGTCTATTTGGTCTATGTTCACCCACAAATCCCGGCTGGCAGAATCGGATGGCCCATATATCCGAGATATATAGTAATTGTGATCTGTGTCCTCCTGGAATAACAGAAAATAATGCACATCAAGAACAGACACAGCACAGAGGGACCCTGAGGCCTCTATGCTGAGTGAAATATGTCAGAGAGAAAAAGACAAGTGCTGCATGTTCTCACTTGGAATTTTTAAACTTAACTCACAAACAGAGTAGAAATATGGTGGTTACAAATATGGTGGTTACCAGGGGCTTGGGAATGAGGGAAAAGGGGAGATACTGGCTAAAGGGTAAGAACTTTCAGTTATAAGATGAATAAATTCTGGGATCTAATGTAGAGCATGGTAACTATAGCTAACAATACTGTATTATATTTGAAACTTTCTAAGAAAGAAAATTTTAAATATTCTCATCACAAAAAAGAAATGGTTATTATGTGATATGATGGAGGTGCTAGCTAATGCTAGGGTGGTAATCACTTTGCCACACAAAATGCTAGGGTGATACACACAATAGGTGTGTATCAATATGACGTACACCTTAAACTTATACATATGTCAATTATATCAATAAAGTTAGAAAAAAAAGAAGCATTTAAAGCACTACATATTCAACTTAAGTAATTAACAGTTATAGACAGTTTCATTAAAAAGAAAAAAGTCCTCAAAAAAAAGAACATCATCCATAAAATTCTTAAAACAAGCAAAGAATGATACTATGAAATTAGAAATGCTAGTATTCTTCAAAACAGCTAAGTGAAATCATCTTCCTAAGGTAATGAATTAGATTTTTAAAAATATAAAATTAATAAGCCCCTTTAGAAGAAATTGTTAAACAAAACAAAGGAAATGTACAGTATTTACAATAGTCTTTCTGACTTAGAGATATCAGAGATCTCTCTAATTGCTGCCCAAATAAAAATGCCACCTCTGAAACTATTTACGGCAAACCTGAGCTATAGTTACTATTGAGGGACAACAAATTAAAACTTCTCCTTAAAACTAGGGTTTTATTTGGGCCTCTTTTCAGTTAATGGTCTTAGAAATGGAGATAATACATTTTTTTCCTACGATTTGGGTTTTTAAATTCTGCTTTTATTTGAATTTTCATTATTGATATCACCATGGCGCCTGCCACAAAACCTTTATTTTTTGTGATTCTCACTCAATGAAGGGATTTAAATGTTTTAAGTAACAATTTTGCTGAGGAGCACCCAGACAAAAAATCACATACTTCTTGATTAATTCAGATGGCAATTCATTTTTTTTTTGACCATAAAGTGTAATTGTGCTTTTCAATTTGAGGAGTTTGCTAGTTTTAGGATGTATTTTAAAACATTCAGGTGTATTCAAGAATGATGTTTAGTGAATAGAGAGTCTGTGATTTGAATAATAAAGTTTGGGATGTGAATTTTGTCTAGTGCATTTATTATTGAAGTAGTAATTAAATTAAAAAAATTATTCTGGAAATCCAGTCAAAACAAGGATCCTATGATCCTTTTCACAAATCATCAGGCTGCATATATATGTGAAACTGCTTACATAAAGGAAAGGAATTTTCTAAGCAGTATTCAAAATAGATTTTGCCCCATGATTAAACAAAGGACTATGATCCTAAATGAAAATCTTGAAAACAGCGATTAAATTTTAATGGTAAGGGTAAAAAATATCTTACATACACATACACGTTATGTATACAACCATGATGAAACTTAAGAAAGTTCTACAGAGAAAGAAGAAAAAAAGGAGATATAAAGAAAAGAAGGGAATAAAATTCCACACAGCCGAAGAGATTTGATATCTTAGTGGTTTTCCAGCACTATCTTCCAGAACATCATGACTGATTGCTGGGGTTGAGCATTGTGGACAGTAAGAAGCCTTGTGGTCGTGTCTCCAACATGTATTCAACTCCTCCCTTCTGACAGGTGCCTCACCACAGGAAGTTTCTGAGGTGGGCACCCTTCTTGACACTGGGCACAAGCCATTCTACACATGTCATTCCACTGGCCAAAGTGGCTGGGTGGCATCATGAGCACATAACCAAAGAAAGGCCAAAGAGTGAAACATCTAGAAGATGAGGTAGAGAGGAGATAACTTTCCGTATTCTGACTGCTGAGATGTGTAAATGTAAGGCTTGGAACTACTGCCATCATTTTGTTGCCATGAGGAAACCCTGCCTGAAGATGAAACACAGATAAGGGCAGAACCACACATCCATGCAAAGAAACAGCCACATCCCTGATCAAGTAAATCTAAGTGCGACCTCCTCCTGGGCTTGTTCACTCAGATGAACCATTAACTCTTTTATTGTTAAAACACCTTGAGTTGGGTCATTGTCAACCAAAAGAAACCTAACGAACAAACAAGTTTCCTTCATGTCCAAACAAAGGAGACTTCGCCTAAGCAACACTGAATAAGGCAACCTTACATACAGATTTATAGATCTGGATAACAAACATTTCCCATTCAATTCTGATATTCTAGTTAATCACAGAATAGGAATGGAAACTTCTTATCTAATGTGCTAGAAATCATCAAGTCTGAATGAAAAATGATAACGATTCATTTAAATTCCCAATGGTTTTGAAGGAAATAGTCAATGAGTTTAAATACAAAATTTTAATTTTTCCCTCTATTGCTAATATTATTTTAGAGTTCAGCAACATTGAGGTCAGAGACATAATCTTTAGTTGAATTACGTAACAGATTCTATAATGTTTTATTGGGTATTATATTCCCAGTATATTGGGATTTATATTACATTTATGTGTATTATATTCCCATATAATTACCAAATAGATACCCTCTTTAAAATTACTTTCAGCATAGAGGTCAATTCAATATATCTAAAATGACTTAGGTATTTCCCTTGACCTCTAATTCTCTGTAATTAATCTAAAAATAGCCTTGAAGTTAATATAAATAAGAATATCATTATGCTTAAATAATGGATTATGTGAGAAAAACACACATGATTTTTGTCTAATTACAATTGCTGATATGGTATGTGAAAATACACTTTCAGTTTTACTTAAATCAAAACTTCCCAGAACAATGTCACATCTTTGAAAATATTGAACAGCTGAAGACTAGAGCTTAGTGTTTGAATTCTATAGCCCAGGCTTGCCAAGTTGTCATGGCAACTTTTATTTGAAGAGAAAGACAACTTATTATTTACCTCAGAATTTAGAGACACAAGTTGTTAAATTCCAGGGAGAGGTGCTTGGCTCAGTTTTTAAGGAAAGCTATAAAATAGATGTTTCAAAAATGTGACATTTCAGCACTACTCAATTATTCAAACCACATCCTGTCCTTTATAAGTGTAACAGTACTTAAAGATTTGTCAAAAGCTAGTCCAGGCACAAAAGATTTTCTGCTAGAAAGCAAACTATTTCTAACACTACAGAAAATAAAACAAAACACTACTGTGATATGCCTAGTTGCCAACCCATTTAGGATACCAACTATTACTGAAAGTAGATGGCACAGTAGGTAACTATAAATCCTATAAATCCATGCTTCTCAAACATGTCTGCAAATGTGCTGCTGTAAAGAAACAGAGAACATACACAAAAACACAGAGAAAAAGTCCTCAGAGTTGCACTGCCGCCTGACCATTCTCTGACAACCAGTCCCCGTATGTCCTAACCCTAATGTTGTCTTCTTTACTACCATGGGTGTTAGTTGATTTTATAATGAATAATTTGTATGGATGCCTCACATTGCCTTATGCAGTAATTGCATTTAAACTCTAAATTTATTTCACTGAGATGAAAAATATATATATATCAATAATATATTGGATGAACATCACTGTGCTAGTCATTTGAAATAATATGGATATATAAAATATATTCAAAGTTTTAAGGTAAAGTTATTCAACACTGAATCAATTGGTTACCTCTCAAAGATAGTTTTGTAATTAATAAAGGAATATTATAATTTGAGTGGTTCTTGCCAGGTACTAATATATACCAAGTATGTTGCATTCTTAGACAAATGATTTCACAAGGACTATATAGTGTATTTAAGGTAAAACTATTTTAAAAGACTACTTGTGTATATTAAATTCCTCAAAAACAGTTCTCTATGATTAGTTAAAAATAGTTCTCTATGATTGAAAAATATCATGTTGCTATCAGAAACCAAAAGAACATGATAAACTAAGAAAGGCAAAAAATGAGTGAGCTGACAATACTCAGGAGAAAAATGACACAGATGAACTCATTAGTAGTAACACGAGCAGAATAAACATAACTAAATTACTAGTCAGGACACCAAAAGCAATCTTAAATCGCTATTAAGAAAAGGACAAGAAATAACAAATGTTGGCAAGAATATGGAGAAAGGAACCTTCTTGAACTATTGGTGGGAATGTAAACTGGTGCAGATAGTATGGAAAACAGTATGTAGATTCCTTAAGAAATTAAAAATAAGACAGCTACGTGACCCAGCAATTCCACCACTGGGCATCTATCTGATGAAAATGAATGCACTCATTTGAGAAGTTGTATGCACCTTTATGTTCATCGCAGCATTATGTATAACAGCCAAGCTATGGAGATAACCTAGGTATCCATTAATAGATGAATAAGTAAAGATGATGTAGCACATATATATACATAATGAATTACTACTCAGCCATAATAAAGAATGAAATCTTGCCATTTGTGACAGGAATGTAACTTAAAGTGTATTATGCTAAGTGGAATAAGTCAGAGAAAGACAAATACAGCATTATTTCATTTATATGTGGAATCTAAAAAAACAAAGCAAATGAAACAAAACAAAAACCAAACTCACATATACAGAGAACAGATTGGTAACTGCCAGTGGGGAGGCATGTTGGGGGGCATTAGTGGGTAAAGGGGATCAAGAAGTACAATGTTCCAGTTACAAAATAAGTAAGTTCTGGGATGTAATGTATAGTGGGGGAAATACAGTCTCATGAATAGCATTGTATTAACTTTATATGGTTGCAGATGGTAACTAGACTTACTGATCATTTTGCAATGTATATAAATGTCCAATCACTGTTGTATACCTGAAACTAATGTAATATTGTC